GAGAATTGCGTTTTCGTGGAAGCGAGCGCCCGGAGAGGGCGGCGTCGACTCTTGGAATATGACTAGATAGACCTCCGCAGGGTCACCACACGCACGCTTCAATTACATTTTGGTGTCAGGGACGCCAGTCGATCGTTGCCCCAGAAACTGACGTGTATAAAAGAAACAAGGGAATATATATATATATATATATATATATATATATATATATATATATATATATATATATATTAGTGACGAGGTTGTTAATGTGCGCGTGCTCATTGCTCGTGACTGAACATCACCCGCCACTTTGGCTACGCCACCACTGCCGCAATGCATCGGGGAAAGTTTAGTCTTTCTGCGCGTGCTACGACCTCGCTGGAGCTCTGCACGTGTTGAGCACGAGACGGCACGAGCCCTCTCGTGCACTGCCGTTTGCCTCCCACTGATCTCTATCTCTATTTGCTGGATCGCGTTTGACCAGCTCCTCCTATGGACCGGAATGCGGTCACTGGCGGCCATCTTTAGGTATAGTTATATCATCTCTAGCCATCATAGTAATATGGCGGACAGCGCAATGGCGGCAGGCTGCCATAAAAATAGCCGTAGATCTAGTACACTGTACCGTGGGTGACATTTCGTGCTTGATTGAAGTGGTTCGACGAAGCAGATTCTTGAAACCCGGCGTGAACAGTATACCTCATCTTTGAGGACCCGGAAAAAGTCCTACGAAAGCGCAGCACCGGCGGAAAGCAGCGCAGCTCGCATCAAAAGCAGACTCCCTACCGTCGTCTGCTTTCGATGCTTCTTTCGATGCGACTTTCGATACGTGCTGTGCTGCTTTTCTCCCGGTGCTTCGATTTCGTGAAACTTTCACCAGGTCCTCAGAAACCGGACTACTGTTCACGCCGGGTTTCAAAAACATGTTTCGTCAAATAATTTTAATCAAGCACGCAATATCACCCACGCTATTTTGACCGCAGCCTGCCAACCCACCTGCCAAAACGCTATCTGCCATGGATGGATGATAGCGGCTGCAGCAGCTTACATTGGCTAGAGGTGATATAACTCTACCTAAAGATGGCCGCCAGTGACCGCAATCGCGGAGCGGGCAAACGCGATCCAGCAATTGTCATAGAGATCAGTGTTGCCTCCTGTGAACTAAACTTATGGCGGCATCACGCATGCGTCGAACGCTTGGTGAGATCGGTCTATTCATTTAATAATTAGATTTGTGGCACATAGGTAGTTTAGCTCCATGTTGCAGCCCAACAAAACCTTGGTCCAAAATGCGAGCTAAAGACTTGTGTTTCGTGTAAGCGTCGTTAAGACATTGGGCGCTGGAGAAAATCAGCTATATTTCTTAAGTCCTCATTTCTAGCTGTTTTTGTTCCCTTTCCGCCCATTGGAAAGCACTGCGAAAGAACCAAAGTACGCACCTGATCTCGCCACCCCACGGTCTCCTTCTGCGCGATGAAGAAATGTGAAGAGTGTATTTATCAAAGGGCTTTAACCGTGACTCACTCTTAACGGCGTACCCTATATGGGTACCTATAGACGAATAAAAGGTCTATTTTAAAAGTTACGAAGTCGTTTTTAAAGGTTTCATACATTTTCCGTTGCCTTAAAGGTTAAAACGGCGATTCTTTTTTTTTTTTTTTTTGTCTAGAATCACGTACAGTGGTTACGCTGCGACTATTGTGTTGTAACCTCTAAGATGTAACGTTGGGCAAAAACGGGTAACCTCTACCCGATTGTTTACTTTTGTTTCCTCCCAAAAAGAGAACTTAGAAAGGGAAAGGGGGAAGGAGGGGCCGACACGAGCGAGAAAGGAGGCATAATAAGAGGAGGAGGTAACCGAAACGTTTTAGTTCAACGAATTCCGAAACTATAGAGACGTAACCTCACGTGACCAGACTCCTCGGCGCCTTCACTCCCTTCACCGCCGGCACTTCGGTTTTGGAGGGATTGCGGCTGACGTGCATAGTTTCGGATCGGAACCCATCGTCGCTGCTGTTTCATCTGGATTACTCTAAGACGACAAATCTTTACAAGGTATGTTTGACGTTTGGCCTGTGAGAAAGATGTTATACTCGACGCAGGATTGATTCTGCATCACCAGCTTCGGTTCAAGTTTCTATACCGAATGTTCTTTATATGCAGCTTAGTTTTGAGACCGAGTTGAGGTTCCAAAGCCAAGTGTCTGCTCTCGTGGACGTCGGGATCAATGCAGTCAACGTCTTTTCGGACATGCAAGGAAAACGCTGTACCTTCTCTGACATTGAGCGACACCTGAAGCGAGATGGAGCGAAGTACCTCTTGACCAACCAGGTACGGAAGGTTTCAAGATTCATTTTGTGCACTGTCTTGTGTGAGATTTCTGGTAACAGGTTTAATACTTCTAATGTATATGATTTATGTAAGTAGCAATAGAATGCCTTACGTTGGTAAAATAGTGAGATTGAAATATTTATTACATACGGGCAGACAATGTCCCCTTGTAGTACTTTTAACGACCGACAAAATTCACATATTGTAAGACCAATATTGATAAACGATCAGCACACCAATGATATGAAAAATTCCCCAAGCTTGGTGAGTTAATTTCTTTTTTGTCTGTTAATACCGCAGACAGAGGTGCCAGATAAGCCCACTTTGTCTGTCCATCACATATACGCAACAGCTGAGAAGATTGTGGTTTACGGCGGAAAACCAGGAGAACGTGTTCCACTCAGTGAAAGCCCTCGTGATCGCACTTCCGCAGCCGTTGATACTGCTCCAAAAACGGCTTTTGCCCAAGGACACTGCACCCCGAGTGTTAATGAACAGAAAACTGAAAGCGTTGCTGGTTAAGTTGGGGCAATGAAGATCTGCGTGAGCTTTGTCGAACATTACCTTGTATAAAAAGTTAATTAATTTTGGAACATCGTCGTGGACAGGAAGTTTCATTTTTTTTAAAGATTGCTTTAAGGCTCTGACAATAAAGGGAGTAGTTCTAAACATTTGTTTATTATTTAAGCTGCCCAAGCGCATATTTGTATGCGGTATGTTCATAGTATTCACCTATCAGCAAGGCTATGTAAGCGTAAAAGTGACAAGGGTCACAAATAATATTGACTAAAGTCAACTTTAAATGAGGGCCGATTTTAGGGCGAGGTACGTGCTTCGTGTTTAATTTTGTTGCTAAAGCTTTATTCAAGGAGGGTCTCAAATTGGCGAAAATGACTTGGCGAATGAAAATGCATAAGTAGATACTATATACAGAGCGTATTTGTTTGTCTTTACGGTATTTTTAAGAAAAGGAGCTATTGCTACGTGGATGCAGTCTTTGCCGCATTTTTGTGGGGTTCGGCGGACGTTAGATGAGGGGATAAACGTCCCAGTTTGTTGATTAATTAATCAAAATATGTTGATCTTAACTTTTGAATTCATGGCTCAATTGGCCATGTCACAATTGCAGTCATTACGGGACCAATTATTAAAGCCTGACCCAATTTAGACAGTTCACAGAAAAGAAATTACAACCTTTGAGATATGTGTCGTTTAAAAGTTTCCCTTTCTTGCATGATCGAAAACCGCTCGCAGAAAGGCGCGCCTGATTAGGGTGTGTATAGGAGTGTGACGCAGTCTTATCGGGCCTCCTCGTGACTATCTCGACGGCTTGCCTTTGCTGGACGCACCGGTGACAAACTTAAATGATAGTGACGGACGGACAGAGGTAACTACGTCACTTTCCTGTGGATTAGAATAAGCTTGCGCTTGAATCGAGTAAAGGCAACATTTTAACCATGAATATCTCAAAGATCGTTGTCTTTTCACGAATTGTCTTAATTGGGTTAGGCAGTAACCATTACTCACGTTATGACTGCAATTGCAACTTGACCAATTACGCCATTAATTAAAAGGTTATCAAACTTTGGTTAATTAGTGTACATAATGTGGCGTGTATTATCTCATATATTTTCCGCCGACCTTACGACAATACGGTGAAGACGGCGTCCACGCAGCTATTACTGCCTTAAAAAAAAAAAGAAACTAAAAAAAAAAAAAAATCAACGGTCGCCCACCTAAAAAAAAAAAGTAAAAGAAACGTGTATGTCAGACGCTACAGTAACTTTTATGCAAGAGCTTCCATGTGACCACTGCGTAGAGGGTACAGTGTTTGCGGTTACATTGCAACTCCTATATTCAAAGGTGTACATTTGCAGAAACGTACCTTCTACTAAATGTTACCCTGCTAAGAGTGAGAGCAACAGTGACCGCTATTTAGCGCCCCCAGCCCTCACACCAACTTAATGCTTTATGCACTTCCGTTTCCCCCGGCCAAAAAAAAAAGCTACTCATCGGGTCGTTCCCAGCAAAGCGAGAACCAGAATCGAACGGCTGTGTAAAATAGAATACCTTCCATATTAAGCTCTCCGAGTTCAATGATAAGATGCCGCCCCCATTTTGAGCTTGGAACGCCAGGCTGAGCTCATATTTTCAAGTCGAGCCCCTTACCGTTTTGCGTCTGCTGACAGCGAGCTTCCACATCGCATCTGCACCCTGCATCTCGCAAGGTCGGGGTTGTTGCGCTACAGCGCAGGCTTCTGCTAGAGTACTGACAGCTCCCCGCCCCCCCCTCCCCCCCCCCCCCCCCCCTCTTTATATCCGCCCCTGCCCGTTAGATGTTTTGTCGTATACACGTGCCAGGCGCTTCATTCGCGTGAGGTTTGTCAAGACGCCCTTACATGTATCGATACGGCATTTGGCGTAAAACTTGCACGTACGTCGGGGAGGAGAAACGCGCACACCTCTCCGGTTCACTCCTATTTGTTCAACCGAGCTGCTACAAATTCAGCAGGCGTGTCCCGATCCCGTCCATTCAAACACTTCCTCCGGCGACCGGGCGACAATGGCGGGGCTCGGCCGGCCTTGACCGCCTCGACGGCGAGGTCCTTTTAAACGGTTCTCCCGGACACTCTCGCAGAGATCGAGACATAAGCGTACGCGAACACGCACACACAATCGCGAGCACCATGCTGAGTAGGACGAGTCTGCTCGCCGTGACTCTGGTCTTTGCCCACTTCAACCCTAAGCAGTCGCCCGAGTTCTTCGACCCTCCTGCTCCGGGACTGGCCAAGCAGTACGACTACATTATCGGCAAGTGCTTCAATCACTCCACCACACGCGTTTTCCCCGGAGTCTCTGGTCAAAAATCTAATTATTGCATCTGCCGACGATCCTCATTGGCCGTACGAGCGCGCGTTCACGGGAAACACGTGCCGGTTTTATGTTTCCTGAGTTTCTTTTTCTTGCAACCTTCGGGGGTGATATTTTTTCCGGGGTTAATGTTTCAGATTAGGTCGTCATTGCCTAGGCACGAATAGTGAGATTAGATCCGAGTTCATGCCGAGCGCTGAAGGCCAAATGCACGCGGGCGCGTTTGGCAGGTAAACAGGCGCGCGCACGAGGACAGCAAAAGAGCAGAGAAATTTGCATGCCGAATGGGAAGACGTCGAAAAGTCTGTAGCGGATCCGAGGAACGCGACTTTCAGTTACGGGGCTCTGAGGAGGCTGGATCGTAGATGGAGTGAGTACGCATCAGGCACGGGCGCAGAACCCAGCTGTCGCTATGACACACGTCCTGTACCATTTTTTATTCGATCAGATTTCTTACAAAACATTCCTAAGAGATGCACTAATACGGTTTGTGCAAATGAGTTATACGGCCAGGGGGACATTTTGTGGGTGAAAAATCTTTGCGATAAGTCAGGTAATTAACTAAACTTTCTTAATTAAGTTTTTTAATTAATACAATGATCATGTAGTTTCTATTAGAAACATGCTGAACATAATCGAAAACCTCTATATCAGTCAAATTTAGAGCGACTTGAAGCTTGTGGGAAACTCGGAGGTGCACCGAAGTTACCACTCCTACAGCAGGCGCAAAGCTAGCAGTGGCGGAACGCGACGATAATCTAGTCATCCCGTTTTGCCACTGCTAGTTTTGCGCCGGCTTCAGAAGTGTGTGCCCCCGAGTTTCCGACGAGCTTCAAGTCGTTCTAAAATTGACTGATATATTGTTCTTAGATGATGCTCAGCATGTTCCTAATTGAAAGCAAATGATTATTTTTACTAATTAATAAGTTAATGAAGAAAGTTTAGGTAATTATACGACATCGCCAAATTAGCCACCTATATGATGCCCCCTGGCCGTATAACTACCTGCCCAAACTGTATAGACCGATCTCACCAGCCAGTTTGACTACGCCCCCACTGCCGCAATGCACCGAGAGAACTTTAGTCTTGCTGCACGTGCCCGAACTTCGCTGGAACTCTGCGCTTGAAGAGCACGAGACGGTACGAGCCGTGTCGGGCACTGCCTTTTGTGAACTAAAGTTATGGCGGCTTCACGCATGCGCCGAACGCTTGGTGAGATCGGTTTATTAGTGCATCTTTTATAGTAACATCTGTTCGAATTCAAATGGAACACCCGGTTGGTATATAAAGGGTGTGGTTCTCGAAAAAGGAGCGGCTTGTGCACTCTAAAACAAATCCGTTCTTGAAAGCTTCTTCGACGCCCCAAGAACCCTTTCAGCTCGTGAAAGGCATATATATGTATGTATGTATGTGTATATATATATATATATATATATATACACATACATACATACATACATACATACATACATACATACATACATACATACATACATACATACATACATACATACATACATGATTGAAGCTCGTGAGCCGGTGATTATTGAAATGCACAAGAAAGATTCACGGACTGAACAAAAACAAGGAAAGGTTTATTTGATGTTTTGAGAGGCCTCCTCTCGAAACGTCAAATAAACCTTTCCTTGTTTTTGTTCAGTCCATGGATCTGTCTCATATATATATATATATATATATATATATATATATATATATATATATATAAACGAATATGTGCAGATGAAAGAACCGTACTTAATCCAATTAATCAAAGCATCAAAGTTTTCAGGAACCCGCCGAAAGCCAAAAATATATAGGTGAGGCAGAGTAGTTTGAGAACAATGGACCGGGAAAATGTAATAAGTCAGAGATCCGTACTTGCGGAGTTGCTATGTTAGGAGTTTATTGTATGTATTACGACAGTTTCGCCGAGAGGCTCGGCTTGCCATCTCCTGACGAAACCGAGCCCCTCGGCGAAACTGTCGTAATACATACAATAAACTCCTAGCATAGCAACTCCGCAAGTACGGATCTCTGAGTTGTATATATATATACTGTAAACGGCTTAATTTTCGCGGGCTCAAATTTTCGCGAATCGGGCCAAAGCTGAAAGTTGATATATATATATATATATATATATATATATATATATATGTATATATATAGGGTGTTCTTTTTTTAAGCTTAACAGATTTGTTTAAAAAAAGGCGTGAAAGTTACACTTATGCCGCTTGTGGAGGTGAGTTATACGGCCAGGGGGTCATATTATAGGGTGCTAATCGTAACGATCAGTCGTCTAAATAATTGAATTTCGTTAATTAACTTTTTAATTAATGAAAATAGACATATGGTTCCAATAAGAAACTTGCTCAGCGTCATCGAAAACTACTAAATCAGTCATTTTCAAAAAGACTTTCGGCGCGTGAGAAGCGTAGTATTGTAATAAAGTTACCACTCGTGGAGCAGGTACAAGGCTGGGGCTAGATAAGAAACGGAAAAATCGCGCGGGCGCCTTATTGCAACCGCTAGCTTTGTACCTGCTCTACGAGTGGTAACTTTAGTGCACTACTACGCTTTTCACGCGCTGAAAGTCTTTCTGAAAATTACTGATTTAGTGGTTTTCGACGACGCTAAGCAAGTTTTTAATTGGAACGATATGTCTATTTTCATTAATTAAAAAGTTAATTAACGAATTTTAGTTAACTAGTCGACTGATCGTTACGATTAGCCCCCTATAATATGTCCCCCTGGCCGTATAACTCACATCCACGAGCGGCATAAGTGAAACTTTCACGTTTTTTTTAAACAAATCTGTTAAGCTTAAAAAAGAACACCCTGTATATATATATATATATATATATAAATAAACGACCAGTGACAAAGCGCAATGCAGAGAAATGAAGGCTGCAGTCTGATAGAATCTTCGGAGGCTCCAACGCGGTATAGCCTGGTGTTGGCACTTTCCGCACATGGTTCGTGTTTCGCATCGGATTAGCCTGTGGCGCCTCGTCGCCTACGGAGTGCAGCTTCAACATACAACAGCTTCACTGGTGGTGGGAGGAGAGAAGAGGGAGGGGGGGGGGCGGTCGGAACAGCTTTGAGTGTGGAGGCATGCCCCCTCTGGTTCAAAATCTGTGGGGGCGACTCGCTCCCACTTAATTAAGGGGTATCCACACGAAGGAGAAATCCGCCCCTTTCCTCCGCGGAGCGCGCATCACGTGAGACATACGTCATCTCTTTTTGACGCCTCGCGGCCTCGCGCCGCCGTTCTCCTCCGTCGCGGAGGCGCGGAGGCCTCGTACTTTTAGCATGAGAGCTCCGCAGGTGCACGCGACGGAGCCGGGGACGGAGTTTAATGGGTTGTTGACGTCACGACATCCGTCCGCGGAGTTCTCCTTCGTGTGGATACCCCTTTACGGGTGCGTGCGGAGGTGCGGGGTTCGCTCGCTCGTCTAGTCTGGCGCATACGTGCTCACGTACTATGCTGTTTCGCACAAAGTTCATAAGCTTGCAAAGCTCTCGCGGCTGCGTACGCGAGCATGTGAATGTATCTATACCCCGATTCAACATAAGTGCGAGCGAAACCAGTGCGACAAGCACGAGTAGGCTATTACAAATAAGCATAGTGAATAATCTGAAATCGTCGAGAAATAGAAAACGATTTGGGATTCCTGTGTAGCCGAAGGGGTGGACTGGTACCCACGAGACACTGACAGACAACGCAACTCGGTAGGGACGATTGGGACGACTATCCAAGGCACTTTCGGCATCCACGGTTTGACGAACAGATCTAGAGCGGTTTCAGGACGGTCGGATGCTAATGCGGGTTCTAAATGAGGTCATTGCCACACTTATACGAAGAGAAAAGTCCAGACAATCGGCATCCCGCCCGCTCCAGCTGACCGAGACTTCAAGACGCTTGGGAACATCCAGAGGGCGCCTGCGTCGCAAACCGGAAGTTAGAGGTGGGGTAAAAAGGGCTTTTTGGAGGAGGAGGGAAGAGAATGCTCCGCTTTTCCCAGATTCAAGGGCTTTATTTAGCCTGAGGCACTATCGCCTCTTGAGGCACCAGAAAGGCAACTGGGCGATGAAGGAGACTCTCGCATAAAAAAAAAAGGAACTCAAAAGAATCCCTCAGGTTTTTCACAAAGCACCCTTTTAAAGGGTGCATAAGATACCTTTTTTAGAGTGCAAAATACGGACAAGCGAAGAACCACTAAGAGTTCTCTTACGACCAGATTTGTTTTAGAGTGTGGGCAGTGTTATATAGGCCAATGTCCACTTCCCGTAAATCTTGGGCTTTCCTCACCAGGGCTAGCGCGGTGTTTAAGAACAAGCTTCCCATGAGCTGCGGGCATTGCGCGTGCGCAGGAACCAGATTCGCATCAAGTGAAGCATCTGCGCAGGCGCACTGCCAACAGCAGAACAAACTCAGCGGCCTGACGTCAGGGTCGCGCGTTGGTGTATATGGAGCGGCGTTCCACCTTGCATTGGGGAAACTGGGTTGGAAACTCTTTGCGTTTAAACGGCAGGACAAAAGACTTTCCTGTTTTTAATGCGAAAGCATTAACTGGTCCCATGGAGCGAACCCGCGTCATCTGCTTTTGAAGCCGCGCCAAACGGCACCCCAATTCCCCTGTCCCAATGGAGCGAAGCCCGCAGTCTGTAGCAGCGATTTGATGGATAGGTTCCCATTGGCTGGTCTGCGTCACAGTTTCTCAAGGAAGGAGACTCCCATTGGCTGGCGCGCGTCATATAGTTTCAAGGAATGCCACCCCATGGCGCTGCGGGCCCAGCGCCGGCGTGTCTTACAAGACTGTCGATACAAAGAGATTGCGCCGCAAATATACATACATACGGTAAAGCCCAGGATAGAGGGGCTTTAAGCGCCGGTAGAGTTCCTGTATAGGCTCCTTACGGGAGCCAGAGTTGCGCGTTCA